TGTGTCTGTGTTAATTGGTTTCCCTTTTCTTTGTTGAAGAGGGTCTGTGCAATCCTTCTGCCTAGTCCGCCATCTTGCCCCGCCTCTCTGAGGATTCTAGATTCTTATGCTGTATAATGGGATCTCTGTGTATATGTTTATCACTTAGAAAATATTATATTAGATTTTAACATGAAAGTAATCAGGTAAGACTGGTATTATTATTATGATATGCACCTTCAGTTATCGTGAGGGTAAAATAGTTAAAGAAAGCCACATGGAAATTGGAGACAAAAATGGAATTAGAATTATAAAAATTTTAGACTGCCAATCTACTGTTTGGCCCATTGAGCCAAAACTTGCATTTTAACCTATGTCGGACAAAAGCGTTCATTGCATATAGGTGTTGGATCTCATTAGATGATAGTTGGCTTCTTACAGACTGGAAATGCCCAACTCCAAAAACCAAACTCACTGCCGTCAAGTTGATTCCGACTCACAGCGACCCCTCCTTGGGTTTCCAGGGCAGTATCTCTACAGAAGTAGATTGCCCAGTCTTCCTTCTGAGGAGTGGCTGGTGGGTTTGAACTGCAGCCTCTGGTTAGCCGTCAGATGTCTTAGGCAGTATGCCATGCCCAGGTTAGGTAAAAATTATAGATATAGAACTTAACGAGAATATTAATTCCTTTATATCTTCAGAGAAGTACAGAGTACTTGGTTGAATCTTACAGAAGTATATTAGGGAGAAATGTGTAAGAAATAGCTTTCTATAAAATTCATGTGAATTCTTACCTCTCTTTCACAACACAGTTCTTTGATTTATTTAGATACATAAAAACACTCATTTTTCAAAAATAGTAACTTGTATCATCAGTAATTATTTCATAAACCTACATAGACTACAAATAGGGATTATAAAGTTGATATAGATGATTTTCAACATTTTGAGCTGTACATGTTTCATGAACTTAAACATGTCCCTTTAAAAAAAACACTGAGAGATTAAGGCACATTTGCACTACAGTGGGGTCAAGAGGGATGACAGCTTCTGAGAAACTGACACACATCCCTGTTTAGATGACCAGATATGGTGTGACAATTTCTGGTAGTAGTGACTGAGAAATTGAATACCTTATTGCAGTGTCATTGTTTTCACAGGTGAGGAATGTGAGGGGGCACGGGTTCTCCATTACATCCCTTCTGCTTATGTCAAGCCTTTGAAGCACTTTGCACCTCAACTAGTTAGCTGCTAACAGTACTGTTGGACATTCTTATAAATGTTGCAGTCAACGGAGAGGTTGACTTTATTGAAGACAACCAATGAGCCTGAGAAAATACTGGTCAATAAGTACTGTTATTTAACTAAATACCCTTCTTTCAACTGATAGCTTACTTGCATTAATGAAAAATAGTAACACTTTAATTACATTTGTGCTGAATATTTTGTGTTGCCATTTCTTTATTATTATTGCTGTTTTTTCTTTATCTTTTAGATCCATGTAAAGGCTCATTTTGACTATGACCCCTCAGATGACCCCTATGTTCCATGTCGAGAGTTAGGTCTATCTTTTCAAAAAGGGGATATACTTCATGTGATCAGTCAAGAGGATCCAAATTGGTGGCAAGCCTACCGAGAAGGGGATGAAGATAATCAGCCTCTAGCTGGGCTCATTCCAGGTAAAAGACAGAATAGTAGAAAGGTACATAGCATTAAAAGAACATTTAAAATGTGAGCCTTTGTAAAGAAAAATTCACTTGAAAATTACGTATTTACTTTTTCATAGGGTTTTTATATTGTATCTTTAGCATAAATATTTGAGTAGAAATGTGACCAATCTGTGAGGTTTTAGAATGGAATTAGGTTGTTACTTCAACTACTACCATATCCTACTACATTCACTGGAGATTGTCCTGCTATCGAGGCAACAAAATTTGTATTGAACCCTTATATTGTAACAGGAGACTATCATCAATTGGAGTATCAAACTTTGATACATAAGAAGGAATGTGTTAAAATGCATCACTTTATTAGAAATCAGGAGGGCAATAACACTGCTGACTTTATCACTTCTATATATCTTAACAGGCGCAGTGGTGGGTGAGTAGTAAAATTCTCACCTTCGTGCAGGAGACCCTGGGTCAGTTATCAGCCAGTGCAGCTCAAGCACAGCCACCAGCTGTGTCAGTAGAGGCTTGTGTGGTGCTGAGATCCGGAACGGGTTTCAGTGGAGCTTCCAAACAGACTGGGTCGAAAGGCCTGGCGATGTGCTCCTGAAAGTCAGCCAGTCAGATCCCTACTGAGCACAACAGTCTGGTCTGCTGGGAAGAGTCAGACATTAGATTGTTAAACCAGTGGGGCATTTTCAAATGGTGGTGTTTCCTTCCTGTTTTTTACTGGAAATCCCTGGATTGTGATTCCTTATCCCATGTCCCATGTTCTAGATGAAAGAGCCAGAAGTATTAAGGGGTCTGCCCTTCACATTATAGGACATTCCTCTAGAATTCTGGCGTCTTGACAACCATCATGATTCTGCCTAGTACTTGTGCCAAATATTAATTTGATATCTTCTCACCATGCCAGCCTTAGCCCATAAATATTTGGAACTAGTGTTTGTTGGTTGATTAATGGTATTGAATTTGTGAGAGTAGATAGATGAGCCAAGGACATTTCAATGGCAACATTTCTAACTTTCTGCATAGGATTAAAATGAGCCTACTTTAATTTTCATTTATAGGGTTATCCATCCCATATAGTTCAAAAAGACAGTGACTTTCTGTCAGAATTTTAAGGGCTCATATTGTCCACCTTGCACAATGCCTGCTCCTATTACAAAATGCCTGACACATGCTCCTACTATAGAAAGGTGCCACAGAAGTAGAGCACAGTAATGTTTTTAAATGTAGATGATTAACTCTATTTTCTTCTTGAGTTTAAGTCTTTTAAAGTCAAATATTTTAAAAAAAAAATTGTAAGGCTCTTAAATTTTTTCCTCTAACCAAAACTAGTTGTTTTCTTAAGAATA